CCACAATCCATAAATGCGTTATGGAGTTATGAAGGTACAAAAAAGCGGAAACACAAACACACATACACACACACACATACACACACACACACACACACACACACACACACACACACACACACACACACGCACACAGACGCGCCAAAAACAATACCTTCCATTTCATGGAGGTAATTAACAATTTAGATGCCACCTGATAATAATTTAAAACCCAAACTTCACTAAGAAAATACCAACGTCTATTTACAACAGTATAAGTTTAATGTCCAGATTGCATCATTACAAACGTGAAATCTTTCCCTTTGCCAAGTGACATTGGCCAGGACAAACCTTTTTCTATCTTTACTGATTAAGCGCACAGGGGCGTTGAGAGGGAGAGATTTAAATTATGATATGCAAGAAGCGTGCCAGTCATTTTCTGAAAAAACTGGTACTTTATTTCTAGAACCTGTCGTCTGTGGACCACTTACCCTGTTCTTCCACAGCAGCTGCAGGTCCGTTCCCACCATTCCTTGCAGAACGTCAGATTGAGACAGATGAGGATGGTGGCGGCCAGGAAGATACAGCCCAGTATGGTGAACACCGCAGGGACGGTCTGGATCCACGGCACCGCTACTGCACTGGTCACATTCGTCACTGCCCAGCGAAGAAATGGGGAAATTGTTTTCATGAAGATAACTGCGCGTAGATGTCTGTTTTGGATGGTTATTATGGCTCCGAATCTAAACATTCCGGTAAGTATCGATAGTTGTAAGTTACTAGTATATAGAAATGTGCGGGAAAACCCAGAAACCTGTACATTTGTCGGGGGGGGGGGTCCCCTTAAATACAATTGATGTTACTTATACTTACTTTGGGTCAGATTACATATTTTAAGCATACATGCTTTGTAAATAAAGATGAAACAAAATTTAAAAAAAATTAAGGTTCACATTTTGTTGTATCATGGACGTCCCGGGTATTTTTCCGCCGTCATGTTTAAACGAAAAACTGATTCGAATTGATGGCTTTATGGATTGTAAAGCGGTAGTCACTCGGCCTGACATGCGGGCTGTGCAAATTGGATATCGATCAACCACTGAACAAAATTGAAGTCATCCCGCCGGCTGGACAAACGTTTCCAACACAAACAAAAACAGTTGTTTGTCTTTGTCCTGGAGGTCACAGACCATTCCGGCAAATTAGTCCAGAAGAAAGAGGAACGTTTGCTGAAGTACGTTTGCTGAACAAACACCATTATTGTGGAACGTCAGAATGGGGAACGATTTTGGAGATACTGACCCGTGTTGTGGTAACTATGCAAGCTGGGGTCTCATCGTTTTACAATTTTGTCAATCTCCTTAAATTATCAGATCTTTATCAGATCTATCACCCAACGTTTATCCAGAAAATACTTTAAAGTCGCCGAGCTCTGATCAAACTAGATGTGAACTTGTACTGAACGATGTTGTTGTCATTGCTGAGGTATTGACATGTATGTTCGTAGTACAGGTGGAAATGTTTTGGATAGTCTTTAAATTATCTTGGTCTGTATCACAATTTTTTTCTTGATTCAAGTCTCTAGATTTTCATAGAGTGGAAAGATCACGCCATCCTTCCAGCCCAATGACAGTAATGGAGGATCTAAGAGAGGGGTTTGTGTGTTTAGAACACCTAATCCCGTTTCAGGATGACTTTTGCAGTGATAACACCGTACTTAAGCAAAGTGGGGCTTAAGATACCCTATTGTGGCAGCATGTTCCGACAGAATGCAACCCAAAAGCTGCCGTCACTTACTTCGGTGCAGATCGCTACAGTTAGTTGAAATACAATGCCGAGCAGGTGTAACAACAGCCACATGGATATTCATATGTTGAGGCTCAGATGCCATGGATCTAGGGCTGTAACTAGAGAAAAACCCATACGTGTGCTTTTACATATTAATATTTCGGGCTTCAGGATCTATCTATCAAATCTTAGGGCAAGATTTAGGTGAAATGAGACTTAAATTGCCAGATGCAAAGGAGTAAAGCCGTTGATAAGGTAGCAAATCCCGTGTCGCAATGGTGTTATGCCTTAAAGTCGTTACTGTGTCTACCCAGGTGCCGTCACTGTGAAACAAATGTGTCCAAAACATCCTTACCTGGTGCCGCCGTGTTCATGGTGCTGTGGGGCGATTCAGAGTCGATGTATGAAAGCCCAGAGTGCCTCCTTGAGTCCCTGTATTATGACATGGCAAAGTGTCGCGGCTGTATCTCCCTCCAGTTTGACGCACACGTATTTGGTACGTGCCCACCAGGAGGTTGGAGATCGTCCTCTATTCTATCGCCTGACAAAAGCTCATGTTGTCGCCATGGCGACGTCCCGTCAGACGTTTGCGCTGTTTTCCAGGTGTACACACTCCGCCCCCTTAAGAGTTTCCTCAGAAAAAAACACCCCAAGTGTTTCCTAAAGCACAAAATATAAAAGGCGATCTCTGATGAAGAAATCATCACACCATTTGACTTAAACAAATCGTGCTTGAGAGTAAACAAGTCTCCCTGACAGTTGAACATGTCAACAGGGACACGCAATCGACGATGAAGCATTTTCGGGACGAATCATTAACTCATACCCGAGGTTGGAAGATTTTAAAGGATATTCTTACACATAGCGTTACATATTATACTACGTTTTCCACAGTTTCAACTTTTAAAAACAGTTTTGTCCTTTTGATCATGCATCGACGTATCTCGGGCTTTACACGCATTCGGACATTAATGCATATTTCAAATCTGCGACTTTACTTCTGTCAGTCCCTACACAACATCAAAAGATCTGTCCCGACTTCACAAAAATCAATGCGCCGAAGACAAACACAAGTCACTAATCCTTTGAACAGGCTCGCCCTTGGAGAGGCTTTTACCTTCTGTTGAGCGAATGTCAAACCTTTTACATCTGGACGGTGCCACATTGTTCCATCATGACATCCGGACAAGGTGCGCCAACGGGTCTGCAAATATTGTGGGCTGTTGTTGTTGACTGTGGCGGCGTTGAGGTTGGGCCGGTACCTGACTCCCCGTGTTCGCTTTTGTTCCTAACATGATCGTAAACCCCCCAGGTTCAGAGGTAACTCATGAATGATACATACACACCTATCGTGAGAATTGACAGTCATCTTTTATTGTAAAGATCAACCCTTTGACAGGTTGCCCAAGGGAGCTGGAAGGTTTTGTGTAGCGGCGCAAATGATTCTGTTTTACTGTGCGTTGTGCGACTACATGTACATAACATGCTTTCGACGTGAAATGAAATTAGTTGTCAACTCAGACAGTGGACTGACATTCGGTAAACACAACGCACTAATGAGAAGTACACTTCTAGGCAGTTAGCCAATCGCGGCTTCTGTTCTGGAGAAAGTTCCCAGTTCCCCAAGATGCCAAGCCGAAGAATCGGAAAGAATAATTTGTGTATATCAGTACGCATTGCTTCATCTTCTTAATTTTGTCTTTTTCTTAGTACCAAGATTCACATTATTTAGCTTCAGATTCTACACAGTTGTATGTAGCACATATCAAGATATGCTAGAATAGTTCTAAGATTATGTCTCTCATTGAATTATGTATCTCATTGAACTATATTCAAGTGCCTCAAATTTGACGCATATATTCCAAGCGGGAGTTCCGTAACGAATAGCAAATTAATCTTTGATATGTGTGGTAACTAACTAATGCCATGATAGACTTGCTTGGGTCCCAGGCTAGGGATAGACTATATCAGCAGAGCATGTCAAGTGTGGTAAAAAGAGGCTGTGTATGGGGTGTTCCAATCTGTAAAGCCTGGTCCTGTCAAGTTCACATCTTGTCGGACAGCTTGACGGTTACCTGGGAGAGAAATGGACGCAAAAACTGTTCACATTCAAGCGTTGCGTTCATTAAAGCCTGGAAAATGTTTTGTTGATTTTTTTATTATTTTAAAGCATAACATTTATAATATGATATCAAAAGTCTGTAAATGTACAATGGCGCTTCTTTCTTGTTGGTATGAATTAAACAATATCGTTCTCGCAATTCGAATGAGATTTCGCCTCAGAATTTGAATAATGATCATTATGAAGGGAAAACAGACCAGTGACGCGCACTTGGGAAAATAATGCCTCTTTCGGCCTGTTCTCATAACTCACCGTCTTCACCTCACAGTACTCGTAAACTCCATATTCACCCCTGTCGGGGAAAATCAAAGAGATCGCGTCAACGCAAGTTATTTAAAAACAGCAAAACTATATCGAATGAGGACTACAGTTTAAAGTAGGAAAGTAAAACATCTGTATATAATCCATGCCAAAATGCCAAAGAAATTATAAATTTCTTTTTCATCACAGACTAGACTAGTGAAACACATTTGTGCTAGAAAGGTCCAACGTTCACAGTGTATAAACCTGTACGGACTACGGACCAACCCTAACTCTAACTCTGACCCTAACCCTGACCCTACATGTAGCCTTCATACCAATAAGTTGACCTGTTTAGAAGAGAAGGTTACTTACAGCTCTCGGCCATGTCCAGACTGTTTGAAGCCTCCGAATGGCGCCTGGATTGCTATTGGGTGATAACAGTTCACACTGGGAACGAGAGACAAAAAGTAGACGTCATCATCAGTACTCAATATGTTTTACGTTACATGTACATAGTATATCAACTCTTCAAATACTAGTCGTAATTTCTATATATACAGCGCTTTCAGGTCCTCCTCTTTTATTCAAGGCAGCAGCTTTAATTTTGAGATTTTGCTGCCTTTGAGCTAACCACAACCGTCGCCTGTTCTATTTGGGACACCAACATGGCGGACGCAGTGATGACGTCATGGCCCACCTGACCGAGCCGGCCTGTACGGAGTTGGCGATGGTTAGCGCCTTGTCGATGTCCTTGGTGAAGACGTAAGCCGCCAGCCCGTAGGCGGTTTTGTTCGCTCGGTCAATCACCTCGTCGATGTCCTTGAACTTGATGATGCTCATGACGGGGCCAAATATCTGTGTTTGGGAAAGTTAGAAACAGGAAACGTTTTTGAATAAAGTGATTGATATAAAATCGGATGATGCTTGCTGATTCTTGACTACCCTGAAAGCCAATACCCGAATACCGGCTCAAGAACCACTGGGCCCTTTTACGATCCAACCCGCCGATAATATCCCAGTATTTGGCCAGCCCGTGAACAGTTGAGGAGTGTCTATGGTAAAATTTCATTGAGGAATGCCGTGACCCTGCAGCCCAGGCGCCCTGGCAACAGTCTGGCCAGCCAGTAGCCTGGGTACCATCCTGGTTAGTTTACGTCCGCTCCCACAGTCGCTCCCTGGTTGGTGGGAGCGACTGTGGGAGCGGAAATAAACTAAACCAGGATGGTACCCAGGCTAGCCAGCCAGGCCACCACACAGGATTTCTTTTAACGATGGGCGCTGGAAGCTGAGAAGATGGCTGGATGTGGCGGGTAAAGAAGGGAAAATGGTGGTATGGCGCCTAGGGTAAACCTTACGTAACACTGTCATTCGTACCTCCTCCTTGGCGATGGTCATGTCGTCCTGCACGTCAGAGAACACCGTAGGCTGGATGAAGAAACCCTTGTCGCCATGGCGACTGCCGCCATACTGCAAATTGGCACCTGTCCACAAAAACACAACTGTTGTAGCAGCATGTTCTAATTCGATGTGTGGAGAAACCTTTTCACCTGACGTGTTTTTCCAGGGAATATTCATTGTGTTAACGTCTACAACTGTACATGAGTGATCAACAAAGGAATAGAACGTCTTGGCGAGTATGCGAGGTCCTGAAATTACATGCATCGCTGTAGCAAGCATGTCCTTATTTACACCATCCTGTGCCACCATCTAATTTCAAACAATGCGTACCTTGCTTCTTTCCAGTCTCGATAAGCCGCATGACCTTATCAAACATGTCTTGGTCAATCTGTGTAAACGAGAAAAGTTAACAGTGTCAACGGTATATCAACGACATAGCCAAGTAATTCCTTCGACTGCCGTCGCGACTCGGGTTGTTCACTGATGAACGAATTCACATATGCTGAAAAATATGGACGCATGCCTTAAAAATAAACTTGTACCGAACATAATCCACTTTTAAAGGAGTGCCGTCCTTCTTATCAGTGCATGTGTGTGACAGCTACGTGTACCTGTGCCCCGTGATTATTCCGCATGTCAAACGGGCTGCCGATGGACACCTGCTTGGCGCGCTCCACGCTCCGCTTGACGAAGTCGTCGTACACTCCCTCCTGCACGAACGTGCGTGTGCCGGCCACGCACACCTGGCCCTGGTTAAAGAACGCCGAGTTGTGCGCCTCTTCCACAGCCGTGTCCACTGAAGGAAGATCAAACAAAATACTACGAGGGGTGTTCAAAAAGTTCTCGGCCTCACCTAGAAAATAAAGGTCAAACTCCTATTCTTTGGTATAGCTGTATACTATGACGTCTTACATCACTGCACACAAAAATTCAAATTTTTATATTCATTAATAAGCACGTGACGCCCCATGAAAATGGGGTGGGTGAGGGAAAATCACAAAATGGCCGCAAAAGAAGCGTGTGCTGTGATCAAGTGTATCGATAAAAAAGGTTGTCTCCTAAGGACATCCATAAACACGTGGTCAAGACACTTGGTGATGACTCCCCTTCTTATTCAACTATAAAGAAGTGGGTTACTAGCTATAAGCGCGGCAAGGAGAGCACAAAAGATGAACATATGTCAGGATGCCACAAATCAGCACCACGGACAATCCAGTTGAGGCCATCCATCACATGGTAGTGAATGACAGATTTGAGAGTGGCCAACATGTAGCAGGTTCTTTGGCCTGTGTTATGACTCAGTTCACAATGTTTTGTCGAACATCCTGGGGATGAAAAAACTGTCTGCATGGAGGGTGCCTCTAATGTTTTTGAACATCAGAAGTTAAACAGGCTGGACATTTCAAGGAACGAATTCAGTCCAATCCATGCAATTTCCTAAAAACATTTGTATCCCAAGAAGAGCTGGGTTCACCACTTTCAGCCCGAATAAAAAACAGCAGAGCAAACAATGGATGAAGAATTTTTCCCGGCCCCCCAAGAAGTTTTAGCGAGTTTCGTCCGTTGACACGGTTTTTGCCTCTGTTTTCTGGGACAGTAAGGAAGTAATCA